AAAAAGAAAAGCTGATTCTTCTTTTTGTCAGTAACATAGCATGTGCGACATGTGTATTGATGTATGTTTGCTTTGGTTGGAAAGTTCGGAGGAGCTATTCATGGAACAACACACACATGAATTCTAATGACCTCATCATGAAGGTTGAAATCAATTTAATTGATTACTTTTAACCGTTTAGGGTATACTTCTCCATAAATGGTAAAAAAATATCTCTACACAACGTACGTTACAATAATTATTTTGTCTTGAAAATTAAAGGTGTATTTTGGTTTATGTAGTTTCTTAAATGATCCAGAAATGGCAAAATCTGAAAGCAACAGAACCAGTGTTTGGGGATTTCCATTTCCGGGGAAATGGCACACCATGTCATCCTCCTGGTTTAGAATGATTAAATTTTGGAGAGATAAGTAGTTAAGTAGTAATTTTTAGTCAACTAATTTTATGTTTAGTCGACTAAAGTAAGGTAGTGTTTGAAATTGTTTTTTTATAATGTTTAGTTACACAATACTTTATATAAAAGTTAAATTTTCAATTTAATCCTTGAACTATTGTACAGACCTTTAATTTAATCCTTGAATTAAAAAAATTCTTGATTTGGTATCTAAACTATTGTATGGATCCTTGATTTGGTCTCTACTGTTTACCTATTTACCCCAAGTTGGTCCTTATTGTTTACCAATTTACCCCAAATTGGTTTTTCCGTACAAAAATCGACTGACGTGTCTTATTATTAACATGACACGTAACTATTAAATTACTATTTTTTGTTGTTAAGTTACTATTTTTTGACATTAAATAACAGATATGTTAATTATTTTTTGTATGGAAGGACCAATTTGGGGCAAATTGATAAACAGTAGGAACCAAATCGAGGAGGGTCTGTACAATAATTTAGAGATCAAATCAGATATTTTTTTAGTTCAGGGACTAAATTAAGGATCTGTACAATAATTCAAAAACCAAATTGGAGGTTTAACCTTATAAAAATATTAATTTATTATAATTAAATTAATTTTAATTGATATTATGTATAATTTTATAATCATATTAATATATAATATTATTTTCAAAATAATTATTTAATAATAACATAATTTTTCTCATAGTAAACAATTTTAAAGACAACCTTATAAATCATGTGTATGCCATTAATTTCTGGATCATTTCCTATGGCAATCGACTCATCGGTATTTAAAAGCAAATTCTCAAGTTTGTCAATAATCTTAAAATCTCATCTTGTATTTCAGTCCACATATCAGTTTTCATAATATATTGTATCTGAGAAAGAAAATGCACTAACAATGGAGATTGACTATATTTTATGGGGATCCTTCCTAATGCTGGGAGACGAGGTTTTCCCATTCTGGAATTTACTTGGGCAACTCAAGGTCCAATGTTCCCTTCCCTGAATTTGTCCTAGTGATTTCAAAAGAAATCTTGGTTGGTGCATAAGTTTTCATTCTTACTATAAAAATACGTTTTTTTTTTTTTTTCAATGAATATTTAATGAAAAGCATTATATTTTTAAGATGTTATTTTATTTTCTTTTTTTTTTTTTTTTTTTTTTTGCAGATTTAACTAATAAAAACTTCTTTTTTCCATATAATATACTCATTCCACCACATTATATTTGTCATTTTCTTACTCTGCATATGGATTATAAATTTTCTGAACAATGAAAAATTAATTAACTAAAGAGGAGTCACCTGAATTAAGAATGACAATTATTACTATAATTAATTTATGCTTTTGTCAAGTTTACTTGTAGTTGTTACTAAAATAAATATATAAAAAAATTGTTGATGATTTGGATTATATATTACATGTGAACTTTAACTACAAGATTAAAATGAGAAAGAAAAAAATTAATGCAACTTGAAAATATAAAAATGATAGTCTATTTGGGACAACAATTTAACAAAAACATATATATTGTGGAATGAATGGAGTATTTTTACATTGAAATTGTAATTAAATTCTAGAATATTGTTAAATTGTAAGATCCCACATGGTTTAATTAAAGAGTACAGAAATTTTTCTGTAATTTTATAAATAAGATGATGTCTCAATTGATCTTATTATTAATTGGTTTTAAGAGATCATAATAGTAATTGAATGTCTTATATCGAAATTACAATTGATATATTTATCTCAATTCCACTTAATTATTGGTTTGTAATAATTAATTTTTCTCTATATACTTAAGAGATAAATGTGAACAAATTCAGCTCCTTTCCTTTCTTAACCAAAATACACTTTCCTTAATCTTATGAATATCATATAATTAAAAAATTTTCAATGGTAATGTGCCTCTGCGAACTGCTTTGATTTAAAATAAAACCATTAAAATATGGTGACAATAAAATAAAACAAAAAAATTAATTGATTTTTTTTAAAAAATTACCCCCTCTATTCCCAAAATAATTGTCATTATTTGATTTTAAGTTTATCCCAAATTAATTATCATTTTTTTATGATAAATAAATATTTTTTTATTTTAACATTATTATTATCTATATATTTTGATTAATTATCCTATTATGAAAAATCTTATTTTATCTTTTAATTTTTTCATAAGAGTAATATAAATAAATATATAAATTATCTCTAAATTTTTAATATAAAAAAATACAATTATTTTAGTATAGAAAGATCAATCCTATACATTCATCTTCATCTTTAAATTGTAATGACCAATATTATTAAAATTGTTAATGCTTTACAAAACCAATTATGCCGTTCTAAACCAAATAAGTTAAATAGTATATTCAATTTTTAGGTTGGGTTGGGTTAAAATTCCCTCTCAAACAATTTGTAATTTGTTTAAAAAAAAAAAAAGTTATGTCTTGTACAAGTTACAACAATAACTTAAAAAATGCAAGGAGGAAACTCCGTATTGTCCTACTCAAAACAGGCATCATTCAAACTGTAAGGAAGAACTTTAACACAGGAGACCTCCACATGCAACCCCGGCTATGCTACGGTGGGGACCTTTACTACTGAGACTTTTGAGTCTCCCAACAAGAAAAGTCTATTCAAAGGGTAAAAACCTAGGACCCTTAACAGGAAAGTCCTGCGCTTGCACTCAGGGTCTCGTGACCTCGGTCAGCTTCTTACATATTGAAAACTGGAAAATAAGAATCAACAGATCCTACTGTCTAAAGTTCACATTTGAGACAAAAAATTTAATTTTAAAAAAAGAAGACATTGTGGGATGAAAGGACTGAAGGAGTAGTTTTTTACATTGTAGTAGTAAATTCTAAATTGGTTGAAATGTAAAAACCCAGATGGATTAGTCAAAGAGTTTTGAAGTTTCTATGTAGTCTTAATGATATCTCAATTGATCCCATTACTAATAATAATAATAATAATTACTTTTACTAATTGCTTTAAGTTAATGGCATACCAACTTGACCAAGTTCTTACTAATTAGTTAAAGCAGTTTATTTCTAAGTGATCTTAAGGTGCATCTTCGGTATCAATCGAATGCATTAAAACTTTTACTAAGTTGTAGCCTATTCAGAAGTGTTGAGCTAAGAACAGGGGATTCATTAGTTAGTGACAGGAAAATTTCTTTTCCACATTGATTTTAATTTTCAATCCCCTCAAATGATCCTCATCTTCCAAATGATTAATCAGAATCTGCAGTTTCATTCTGGAATTTTTTTTTTTTTATTACTATAGATCAGAATCCCATAACAGATTATAGAGCATAATTAACTAAGAACATCATCATTCCCATACATATTTTTTCTTACCCCAATATGATATACATAACCAAAGTTGAATTTACCCAAGAAATGAACAAAGAGAAGCTTTAACTCATTGTCTCAGACAGGAAGAGAATGCTCCTCAGAGGTAGAGAGCTCCAGGTTTGGAAGGCACGACCTCAAGCTGAGCGACTGAAGTGCTCTCACAACTTCCAACATTGGAGGGCGTTTCTCTGGCATGACAGCAGTGCAACGTTGGGCAATTTCAAGAGCTACTAGCATTTCTTGTTGGAAAGAATTCGATATCTTAGGATCAAGAACCTGCAATGCCCCGTTGGTGATGTTAATCTTTCTTCGAACCCACTTCACTATATTAAGAGAGTCTGGGGACTCTGCCTCCTCAGCTTGCCTGCCAGCGACAAGTTCTAACAACACAACACCAAAGCTATATACATCCATCTGTTCTGTTGCTTTCTTGCTGTATCCGTATTCTGCAATCAAACAACTTACCTTATTAGAAATTTGATGCATCAAATGCAATTGGTTCTCATTCAGGTCTACTAACAGAAATCATGATTATGAATACTAGCATTGTCTATGCTTTTTGAGTAACTAAAGTATAAAATCTAGCAGTGGAAGTTAGTTTATGCTACAAGCCTTCTTTTGGTTAGGAATCAAAGCCACTATGTATGCTGCTATGGTGAAGCCTAGAATTTTTCTTTCTTTTTTATTTGAAAGTGTTAATAGGCACTCGTTTCTTATCTGGGTCTACTAACTGAAATTGTAATCCTGGATACTACTATTGTCTACGTTTTAGAAACTTCTGAGTAACTGAAGTACACGAATCTAGCAGGAGAAGTTCATGCTTCAGTTAATTATTCATAGTTTTGTTTCACTACTGAATTAATTCCTTCAAAATATTTTGTCAACCCCACCATTTCTCAAGAATGCTAGAACTTAGAAAGGCCATTAAGCATATTGTTTTCAAGTTACCAACTAAGGCAATGTATCTAGAGTTGCACACTTAAGAAGTTACCATGAGCAGCAAAAAGGAATGAGGAAAATGACAGGAAAACACAATTTCAAGGTTAAATTTCAACATATATCATCATCATGTCATTATAAAATATAGTTTCAATAAGGTCTCATACCAGGTGCATTATAGCATGAGTGTGCACATTCTGAAGCCATGGTTGAATTGAATGCAGCTTCTCCAAGTATCCGATCAAGAGCAAAATCTGTAAGCTTTGGCTCAAAATCAGTATCGAGGAGGATATTTCTTGACTTGAGATTTCTGTGAAGTAGATGTGGAGTATAATCCCTATGAAGATATGCCAATCCTTGAGCAACACCAATGGCAATCCTCAACCTAACACTCCATGGCAACTGGAAATCCGGTCTGCAAATCATATCTCCTAGGCTTCCCTTCTGTAAGAACTCATAAATAAGAAAGATACATTCATCAGAATGGCAGAACCCAAGAACTTTGACGATGTTCTTATGCCTGATCTTGGCTAGTGTCTTGACCTCAGCCTTCAAAGCCTTAGAAGACTGCCTTCCAAAATTAACCATATTCTTTATGGCAATTTTTTCACCACTTGGAAGGCTTAAGAAGTTTACCCTGCCAAAAGGTCCACCACTTTCTATAGCACTTTTCTCATCCATTCCCATCATCAAGTCATTCTCTGTGATCCTAAGAGGATAGAAGAATATCGAATGCCATTTTCCAATCTCAGATTTTCTCCTGGAGTACCGGCGAAACACAAAAAATCCAGCTGCAACAGACATAGTTCCAATGGCAAATGCTACAGATATCAGGGCACATACCAAGGTTGTAAGACCAGAGGCATGATGTTTTGGATGATCATCAGGACAAGGATTAGGCAATCCTGGACCACAAAGTCCCGGATTTCCTTGCAAAAATGAAGCTGGAAGACCTGATATCAGAGACAAAGGGACCGTTCCAGATAGCTGGTTGAAGGATACATTGAAAAGTGCTAGCTTCAGATTTTGGAGGCCCTGAGGAATAGAACCACTGAGCTTATTTTCAGATAGATCAAGGTAAGTTAGCACGGGTAATTCAGCCAGGGAAGGTGGGATTTCTCCAGAAAGATTATTAGCTGCCAAAGACAAAGAAACAAGCTTCCTGCATTTTATCAACTCTGGAATTTGGCCGGAAAGTGAGTTGTGAGAAAGATTGAATATGCTCATAGCAGGTGAATCACAAAAATTTGGTGGAAGTTCACCATAAAAGCCATTAAGAGAAGCAGAGAATCTGTACAAGCTCTTGACAGAACCAAGACCCTGAGGAATTTTACCAGTGAAATTGTTGTTATCAATCTGAACTTGCTCAAGCTGAGCAGCCATTGATATTGAATCCGGCAATTCTCCAGAGAATCTATTGTTTTCAGCTCGGAGAAGCTTCAGTTTTGGTAATGACCACAACCCATTTGGGAAAACGCCAGAGAACCCATTGTCTCGAACTTGAAACTTTTCAAGATTCAAGCATCTAGAAATGGAGTCGGGAATAGACCCATTAAAGAAATTGGTATGGAGACTGAGATTTATCAGGCTTTTTCCATCACAAGTACCACTAGGAAATGACCCAGAAAGCTTATTTTGTGAGATATCAAGAGAAACCAAGTTGTTCAGAGAAGAGCCAAGTGTTTGAGGAAATGACCCAGTGAGATTGTTCTGAGAAAGGTCCAAAGTTGTCAAATTTTGCAACCCAGAAAAAGATTCAGGGATTTCACCATAAAAACCAGACCCTTGCAAAAAGAGCTGCTCAAGCTTCTCAAGCTTCCCAATGTCAGCAGGAATCTCACTTACTAAGAATGCATTTTCAGATAAATCAAGAACAACAAGCTCACTGAAATTGCCAAAAACAGAAGGAACACTACCTGAAAGCAAATTGCTTCCCAAGTTGAGAATTTGCAAGTTCACCAATGACCCAAAACTCTCTGGAATCTTCCCTTCAATACGATTCTTGCTCAAATCAAGAAATAGTAAAGCATCAAACTGGGACAACTGATCTGGGATAGGACCCCAGATGAGATTGTTACTGAGATTCAAATTCTCCAAGGAACTACACTGGGACAAATGAAGAGGGATGGACTGATTGAAGAAATTATCAGCAAGATTGAGGTGAGAAAGGTAAGGCATTTCACAAATGGAAGATGAGATATCCCCAGAAAGATTCAAGCCCTGGAGGTTTATGGATGAAACATAGAGTGAAGGAACAGCAACGCAGGTTATGCCAGTCCAGTTACAGTGATGAACACCTGAGGTGTTGGTCCAGGAAGAAAGGGAGTTCTTGGGGTCATTAATGGAGGACTTGAAGATGAGCAGAGCATCTGATTCAGTTGCAGCTGAAGTGAAGATGAAGAATGTGAAGCTCAGGGAGAGGAGAAGAAGAGGGTATGTGCAGGGAGCAGCCATTGGAGAGACAGTGAGTGTTGGAATTTTTCTGTGCTTTTCTATATAAAATAAAAACCTGTGAAGGCTGAGTGAAGGAGAGACTCAAGGTTTTACCTTTGCAAACGTTGAAACTTGAAAAGAAGTCATCATAATTCATTGGACTTTTTTGTTCTTTTATTGCTTGTTTTTTTTTAGTTGAAAATGAAACTCTCTTTTTTGAAACTTTTCCTCATTTTTTGCATAAGTTTTCCAAATTAAGTTTCTGGTTTTTGGGGAGATAATGCAAAAAATTAGTGCCTTTTGTTTTGATATTAAAAAAGCTAAAACTTTTCAAGATAAAAGAAGAAGAACAAGAAGAAGAAGAAGAAAGTTTAAGACTTTTCATTGCAATTATAAATTGTGTTAGATGAATTGAGTGAGAAAATCTCATATTTTATGTCAAAAATATAATAAAATAATGTGATTTAAAATCTTAATATTCAACTTTATCAAGAGAGAAAGAAAAAGGTAGTTTACTTTATTAACTATATAAAAAGGGATTGGTTAGGCGCCTAATCTAAAATTTCTATGTACTAGGAAAAAGGACCTGAATTTTCAATTATCTTTTGGGAGTTAGGTGTGTTTTTTTGTTTTTATAAGGTATGGACAAGCATATAACTAATTAATCCACCCATGAGTATGGCTGTAGAACTGATTTATCAGGCATGCTTTGATGTCTGGACTTTCTCATTGTCTATCGCGGCTTGGATGCAAATAAAGGTATCACCACCATGATTTATTGCTTTGCCTACTAAAATGAACAGATGATAGGAATTGACTCTTCACCAACCAAAGGGGTGACTTTATATAATATAAACAAAAATGGGTTTTGGTAAGTCAAATTATATTAAATTATAAAATGTTATTTATTAAATTATGAGAATTTTAATATAAATTTTTTTATTTAATATTTAATATTTAATATTTTATAGTCTAATATTGTATTTTGCAAACTACACTTTAATATAAAATACATATTTTTATGTTAATATAAAATACATTTTAAACTAGTAGAAAAGTCTATTGTTGGGTAAGGCCTTCAATACCATAAAATACATCCCCTATTTAATGATATATATTGCATTATTGAAAATAATTTAAATTATACTCTCTTTTTTTTTTGCTTGGTTAAATCTATACCGTATCTATTTCTAATAAAGTTAACCTTTAAATTGTTCAAAAATTTTAGTTCCTTTCATATATAGGGTGGGACTATTCTCAAACCTTTTTGATTGCATCAACCCCAGAGCCTAAAGTGTGTAGGATCCACTACAATTGATGAAACAAAGTTCCTTGATCCAGCACATATCTTGCATGCGCTTGGTTAATGCGACGTAGTCTTTTTTTTTGGTTAAAGTCACACAAATAACGGATAGTAAATGTATTTGATTTAATTAATTTTATAAATTTATAGTTACTTATAAAATCATTAATTATATTATTTAAAAATATAATTTATAAATTAATTTTATTTTATTCAATAATAAATATTAATTATTTTACTAACTGACAATTATAATTAT